TCCCCACCGAGCCCACCTTCTGCTCTCAGAAAGCTTACTGGTTCCGCCAAGCCGCTGCGTTGCCTCTGATGGGACATATCCGCCGGCATCGACGTCTCTAGACCAAGAGACCCGAGATAGACGCCTCCACGCTTCGTCACCCTCAAGAGGCATCGAGCCACGCACCGCACCGCACCGTTGACCGAACTCATCGCATGCTTCCCAGCGGTCAGTGGGCATCATGCGAATCTCCGAATCAAACCTCTTGTCGCAGACCACCGGCCTGCCCGATGGAGCCACCTGAAATGCCGCGTCCCACAGTCTGATGTCTCGAAGGGCAAGGCTCAAGGCTGAACCGACAGAAGCGGTGTTTGCCTGTCTACCGAATCTGCCACGTCGAGTGACACCGATGCAGCCCTTGAACGTGAGGCGAGTTGACGACGTCGCGTTGGGCTGTACGTGTGAGATGCTTCGACGATCTCGTCCATCCCACCATCTCCTAAGCCTTGCCATCTTCGCCTTCCACGCAGCTTCCATTGCTTCCGAACACCCACATGATACCTAACATCCGCCATCCGCCATCCGCATCCGCATTCTCATGTACGATGGAAGTGTGCGTAGTGTGAACCTCTGCCATGGGCTTTCCCTGGCTGTACGTACACTACTGCTAGATGCCGGCCGTCCCCCTTCACTCCCCTTGACCTACCCTTTCTTCCCTCCCGTCTCACGGCTGACCGACCGGTTCAATTGCCTGCCAAGACTGTACCGGAGTGACTTGTTTAGCTACCCGTCTAAACCTCTCAAAGTCTAGGTCACCTTCCTCCTACCTCCTGGCATTTTTCTGCAAGCTAGCGGCGCAGCTATCATGGGTGATTTCCCGGGGAGAAGGTATCCCGGAAACGAAGAAGCAGACGAAGACAATGGAGAAGAAAAATAACAAGGGACTAACGTAAGACAGGCAAGGTGCTCTTGGCAACTTTGTACTTCTGTAGAATACTCGAGACAATGTGCTCCCTCCATCGGGAAACCATGTACAATGTTGGCAAGGTAGGGTCACGGAAGGAAGAGGAGGGGGTATTGGGTCGTTCCCTCATGCCGGGGTCTCCCTGGTCTCCCTAGTCCATGTTGCAGCTTCCCATCCGTTGGATTTGCGCCGGTGAGGTGAGCGCGTCCAAGTTGGTTGGTCCCCTTCTCGTCCAGCTCCAGCTCCAGCTCCTCGCCCGAGCCGTATGCTGCACACCTCCCTCTCTGTCTGCCTCGATGTCTCTCGACGGAAGCCTCGAGGGGTCTGTCCCTCACGTTTCCTTTCTGTGTATCCGTAAAGTGACCCTCCGTATCCTACCATCTGCCTTCCTGTCGTACCCCTACCCATCTCGCTAGGAAGTCCTACCCATCCCACACCCCTTCCTGTCTTTAGTCTGGTCCGTTTCTACACATCCAACGACAATCCACGGTACCTTTACAGATACCATACGTGGTACTTTTACATGGGGCAATGCACCTGCACATGTCGTCGTTCCCGTTGTCGTCGTTGCGCCTGGCTTGTTCCTCCCCCTCTGCCTTAGCTCCCCCGTCCCCATCTCCGCCTCTCATTCCGGGTGCTGTCTCGAACCTTTATTAAACGGCATCCCGCGCCGCCTATCTCTCTGTCTCGTCCCTTCTTGTTGTCCCTTCCACCCCTCATACTCTTGTACTTCTTTACAGAGTAACACCGACTTTGTTCCTCTCCCGTCGTCGACAAGGGCAAAGGTCACGACAAGCGCCAACGCGCACTACTTCTTCTTCAGCAACCAGTCTCTAGCCTCTATCCAGAGCTATCGAGCTTGTTCTTCATCATGTCCAAGGAGGATGCCCAAGTCGGCGTGGTCCCGCCCACGTACGACTCCGAAAAGGGCGCTCGCCACACCGCCGGTGATGGCCACGTTCCCGAGAACTTTCGCGAGGATGACTTCATGACCCGCAATGGCTTGAACCTCAAGAGTTTCCAGCGCCGTGAGTGCATCCCCCTCTATACAACTCCGCTTGGACTGCTTTGCGGCCCGTCTCCAACGGCCCAGCATGTCCTTGCCTTGCATAGATGTCTCTCCGTAGATGGATCGCTAACACGGCATCGTTAGGTGACTGGGGAACCGGTGACACTGAGCTCGACCGCTCCATGAAGCCTCGTCACTTGCAAATGATTGCCATCGGTGGATCCATCGGTGCTGGTTTCTTCGTCGGTTCCGGTAGCGCCCTCACCAAGGGTGGACCGGGCTCTGTCCTCATCTGCTTCTTGATCGCTGGTGTCATGATCTTCAACGTCGTCTACGCTCTCGGTGAACTCGCTGTCCTGTACCCTGTCTCTGGTGGTTTCTACACCTACTCTATCCGCTTCCTTGATCCTTCCTGGGGTTTCGCTATGGGCTGGAATTATGTAAGTCACTTCTCACCGCATGGCGCATTGCAGCGCAAAGCTCTAATATGTGACAGGTCTTCCAATGGGTTATCGTCTTACCACTCGAACTGACAGTCTGCTCGTTTACGATACAATATTGGAACAAAGATATAAGTGTTGCAGTATGGATTACCATCTTCTGGCTCTTTATCATCTTCGTCAACGTTTTTGGAACCTTGGGCTTTGCCGAGGAAGAGTTCGTCTCCTCTGCCTTCAAGCTCTTTGCCACCGTCATCTTCATGGTTGTCGCCCTCGTTCTCATCTGCGGTGGCGGCCCTGAGGGTGGAAAGTACGACGAGTACTGGGGTGACCGTCTCTGGAGCGACCCCGGCGCGTTCCAGAACGGATTCCGTGGCTTCTGCTCCGTCTTCGTCACTGCCGCCTTCGCCTTCTCTGGTACTGAGCTTGTCGGTCTCGCTGCCGCTGAGTCCGCCAACCCTGCCAAGTCCCTTCCTGGTGCCATCAAACAGGTGTTCTGGCGTATTACCCTGTAAGTCCTTCCCAAATCAAACGTCTTGAGCTCTGACTAAACATGCTCCTCAGTTTCTACGTCTTGGGTCTTACCTTTGTCGGCCTTCTCGTCAGCTCTACCGACGAGCGTCTCCTGAACTCCGCCAACCCCTACGCCGATGGTGTCTCCCCCTTCGTCCTGGCCCCTCTTGATGCCCACCTTTATGGATACGACAGCTTCATGAACGTCGTCATTCTCGTTTCAGTCGTTTCTATTGGTGTCTCTTGCGTTTACGGTGGTTCCCGTACCTTGACCGCCCTTGCCCAGCAGGGATACGCCCCCAAGATCTTCACCTACATTGACCGATCAGGCCGCCCCCTGCCTTCCGTCGCCCTCAACCTCGCCTTCGGTGGGCTGGCTTACGTCCGCATGGCGTCTTCTGGTGGTGTCGTTTTCGACTGGCTCTTGTCGCTTTCTGGTCTTGCCGCCCTTTTCACCTGGGGTTCCATCTGCGCCGCCCACATTCGTTTCCGTTCTGCGTGGAAGGCTCAGGGCCACACCCTTGATGAGCTTCCCTTCCAGGCCATCGGTGGTGTTGCCGGCTCTTGGCTCGGCCTGTTCCTGATTGCCATCTCTTTGATCGCCCAGCTTTTCGTCGCCATCTGCCCCCCTGGTGGCGGTTTCGCCACCGCTGAGGACTTTTTCAAGGCTTACCTTGCCCTGCCCGTCGTTCTCTTCTTCTGGGCTTGCGGTTACCTGTGGAAGCGCAAGGGCTTCTTGAAGCTTTCAGAGATCGACCTCGACACTGGTCGTCGTGAGGTTGACTGGGATGAGGTTAACGCCTATCGTGCGAAGGTTGCCGCTTGGCCTGCGTGGAGACGGTGGGCAGCCACCATCTTCTAGAAGACTTCGCCGTCTTTTAAACTCGCTGGATTGTCTAGCACCAAAGGGGAGGAAGCATCTGGGGAAGATGTAAATAGGAGATGTTGGTCTAGGAGCAGCTTTGGCTCTCGGCGTGTCTCACTATCATGATACCTATCTACTTTCTGAACTTTTAAGCCATGATGTCCCTATCAAGGGCTCCAATACATGGGTCTTGTTGAACTACATCTGCACTATAGTCATGTGTGCGCCTATGATGATCAGAGTGTACTAAGCGGTAAGCATCATGTGTGACTTGTGCTTATACACTCCTGGCGAGAGAACCCCTCCTACACGGGGATCCCATAAAGCTTTTGATCCCGGCTTTGGTCCTTTTCTTGAAACCAGCGATGGTGCCATTCTACCCCGCGTTTACTACATCCAGACGAGAGGTCACGGCGACTTTCATGAAGCAAAAAAGTGGTCTGCATGAATTCCCCCCTATGGAAACAGAGCCAGATTATCATTGTAGGAGCGGTCGCCGGTCGTTGCAAAAAGGTTTTTGAAAGCGGTTTAGCGTAGGCTGGCTGATGCCGGCCTCAAACCCCCCGGAGCATGGAGGCTCCACAACGGCCCGAGGTGGACGACGCTATCGACGGGTGGCTTGGATTTGTCGCGTGCCGAAGTTCCGGATAAGGCTCGATAAAGGGAGGTTAACTGGCTTTGGGCGTGAGGGGATGCGAAAGCTGACTTTGTTTTAGAGATTTATTGGTCTGATATCTGGTGTGCTATTATTTAGTGATGGATTCTGTGTAACGTGCGGTGGTGGGAGGATACGGATGGGAGATTGAGAAGGAGGATGCCATTTATTCACGGGCGATGATGAGCATGGTCGTTTCTCGGGTGGAGTGTGAATATTTCGCAATACCTTGGTGCACGCTTCATCATCCCCCAATTTTGTGCAGTGTGAGACTAATGGCATGCACCTTGGGTTCCTGAATCATTGCATGCGCTTTCAACGGCTTGTCTTTGACGGGTCTCTTGTCTCCGAGAACGTTCACTCAGTCGGCCGGAGGTAGTGGATCCCTTTTCCTCATCGGCATCAGTAGTGGGGCCGGAACCGGTTGGAGCTCCGGTACCGATCGTTGCAAGTTGCAACGTCTACCGGTTCATTTCTCCTGATTAGAGCGGCTAGCAAGAACGCCTGTTAACCTTGGGTAGCTAGTCAGTCACCCTGAAGAATCAAACTAACTGATATCAACACACAGGTCCCCCTCAAAGCTTCGCCCCCTCCCGCAGCCCAACCTCGATGACCCCCTGCACCGCACCCGGCGCCCTCCAGATCTTGACGACACTCAGCCCAGCCGACTCGACCAGCGCCCTCCACTCCTTCTCCGTGCGCTCCTGCGCGGCGCCAAACGCCATCATGCTGATGTCGAAGACGGCGGCGTGCGGGTGGACGCTCCGGACGTCGTCGTCCATGATTTGGTCGTGGATCAGGATTCTGCTGTACCCCGGTTTCAGAGCAGCCTTTTGGATCTCGAGGATTTTGCGCGCTTGTTTGTCGGGCCAGTCGTGGAGGATGTGGTGCATGTAGTATGCTCGGGCGTCTTTACGTGGTTTTGTCAGTTTTTGCTGGGGGACTTGAACCACTTCAGCAAAGGTAGTTTCAAACGTACGCTTGATCGGCTGAGGCGTGTAGAAATCATACGCCACTTTATTAATCCCCTTCAACACGGAAGTCTTTTCATCAGCCAAGACGGAAGGTAAATCCTCCAAATATAGCCTCGACGCCGTCTCAGGATGCAATTCATAAAACGCCCACAGATCCTGCCCTACACTCCCGCCTATGTCCACCAGCAGCGGCGAGCTCGGATCGTCGTCACCGGAGCCGCTGTCCAGGAGGGTGTGGCTTGGGAAGATGGACGTCCACCTGGCCCTGTTGAGCGTCGTCGTCCGCTGAAGGGTGTTGAAGGCCTCACCTTGCACCGGGTGGGCTTCGAGGTAGGTGAAGAGGCCGCCTTGCCAGCCGTGGGCTGAGTCAAAGACTGTTTTGCGGGCGCTGCGGGGGTTTTTGTAGGATGTTTGTTGGAAGAAGGCGGGCATGTGGGCGAACATTGGGACTGTGTGGTCGTAACTTGCTTGGCCGTTAGAAAAGGTGTCATGTGTATTTAGAAACGCTGGCAGGGGGGATGAAAAGGGGGGTTGGGGATGGCTTTACTAGAACTTTGCGGTGGTGCTAAAGTCCGAGTCCGCAAGCTGGTTGCAGAATTTGGTGGGTTTGTAGACCCCATCTGAGGTCATCTCGACTATGTTGTTCGAGACCAGTAGGCGGAGGAGTCGATCTGGGAGAATATGAGATATTGTTGCAAGATGTAAAAAAGAGGGTGCAACTCACAAAGTAAAGCGGCATCGCAAGGTCCTTCCGCGAGGTCTGAGAGCTGAGCACAACTCATGGGTCTGCTTCCATTGTCCTTCCATTTCTTGAAAATGTTGAGATCCTGCAGTATCTTGACTGATGCTAGGACAGCCGGCTGGTAAATGTTGAAGTTAAAAAGCTATTCCGCGTCGTCCCCGTGATATCAGTGTCAACTTACTTCGCTTAAGAAGAGCCTCACAAACGTCTCCCAAGGAGATTCGACTTTGATTGTGAGCTCATGAAGCTTGAGAAGAACTTGTGATCTATCGCCCTCCCTGAGATTCTCGATTGATGTAGTGAGGGCTTCAGCTGAGCGTATGAAGTCTCTGACAGCATCATTCTCGTTCATCGCCGTTGCCATGCTGGCGGTTCGTCGAATTCCCCGCGTTTTTTGCGTCAATCTTCCAATCCAATAGGTCACTTCGACTGTTTTCTCGGCCTATCTAAGACAATGGTTGACTTGGCGCAGGTAGAATAAAGCTCGGGTACCTCCGGTGAGACTTCAGTCCTGGATGTAATGCCCCAAAGAAGAGGAAGAAATTACCAAGGGCAGCAACCTATTTATCAAGGAGAAGTAACGATGTTGCACCAAGTCCTAAGTCCCCGCCAAACTCAGAGAATTGATTTGTAAGAAATAGATACCGTGATCTACCATGGTATCACCAATATCTGCTCCTCGCAAAGCTAGAGTGACGAGCGGGGGTTGTTGGAGCGGGAACGGAGTTTTAACACCAACCTTGCTCAAAAAAGTCAAATGTCCCCGGAGCTCGGGCTTGGTTCCAAACTCAATGTTTGAGGGGACGTTGTTTCGTCGTACTTGATTCGCTGGACTGTTAGACTGGATGGTGACAGACTCTGGATTGGATCTGGAGAAGAAAATGATGGTGTGGTCTACCTACGTAGACAGACGGCGGTGATTGACGCCAGCGGCCGTAGTAGCATGTGGCATTGACAAAGCCTGATAGATGGGATGAGAAGGGACCGGAGTCTCGGGCAAACATATCAAGAATTTTGAAAGTGGTTTGCGACCATTGGAGCCGCCTGGTCATACAAGTAAAACAAAGGCGGAGCGGTGGTCTTAATGCATGATCTGTTAAGCTTCATTCCAACTCTGTATGAGAGCTATGCCCAAACGATGGAATGCGTGGAAACATACAAAGCGTTTGTGTCACTACTTCGAGTTACGCACAAAATCCAACCGCCATATACGCCCCTGACGTAGGAGGTAACTTCTTGGCTGTTTGAGGAATGAAAATGTTCCTCATAGGGACTTTGTTTGATATTCAAGATACGCGGTTATCTCACGCATCTCATCGTCTCCTACGTCTCTTGACTGGTCAATAGAAATTGTTCAATGCAATCTTCCTCATCCGGGCCCCTTTTACTCTCCTAGCCGTCTTCGAAAGTCCGCTACTCCCGTGATAGGAGGTGAAATGAGCCTACCTAAGAAAGGTTCGCTATTACCCAAGGCAGCAGCAGTCGACACGCATTCCCATCAAGAACAGCCAGATCCCGAGAAAAGACAATCGCAACTACCACCCCGAAAAGGGGCAGGAACACCAAATTCTCCAACACCAAACTCGTCACCTCTAGACCGACAAAAGAAAAGAGACTAAAAATACAAAAGAGTTCACCCCCTCGGTGGCGAATGGGGACTACATCTCTTGGTGCACATACTGGGACTCGAACACGGGACCTCTAAGCCTTCACCGATTAGGCTGTTCGTGGACTTCAACCACTCCACCACTCAGCCAGTTTTGACCTGACCCCCAAGGGGACGCCTGCTGACTGGTGACAGGAATGGACTTGAGGAGGGATATAAGGGGTTCTCACGGAAGGTGTGGGAAGGTATGGGAAGGAGCGGCTGAGCCATCACCTGCCTTGCGGCCACGTGGTTGATATTGAGCCACTTGATAACATTCAAGACAGATCCTGTGGAAGGAGGCAGGCATGTTTCATTATGGGTATTCTGTGGGAGATAGACGTTCCATTCTGTTCAGCCAATGTTGGTTTTATTCAGCTATCAATATCCGCTATCCGGATAGCGATGATGGAATTTAGACCTCAACGCCACTTAATGCCCAAATTCAGATGCACTCATCTATCCTTCCCATCGTCAAGCACCGTATCCTAATATCACCGTCCTAATTCACTGCGTCTTCGGCTTTCTAAGTGGAGCAGTGACGGAGAAGGAGACTATGCTATACTCAGTCTTCTCAGCATCCCGCTTCTCAACGGCCTTCTTCTCCTCCGCAGTCTCCTCTTCCTCAGCCTTCTTCTTCTTGTCCTCGTCCTTCTTAATTTCCTTCATAACGTTGCCGTCCCCATCGAGCTCGACGACAACGTCGCGCGTGTCGAGGCTGCCGTCCTCGGTGTACATCCACATCTCTTTGAGTTCTCTACGGACGAGACCAGTCAACCAGAGGGAGCTGAGAACGCCAGGGACGAGGTACAGCAGCGCAGGCTGGCCGTGCTTGAAGACGACCAGCATGACCAGCGTAGTCACCATGCCGATAGCGTAGCCGACCAAGGAGGCGTAGAAGTACGTCTTGCTGAAAGTCGATCCGCGCACGGTCGGCGGCGCCGTCTGCGTTGCGGCCTTGAAGAGGCCCAGCCACGAAGGGGCGGACCAGAACCAGTCGCCCCAGCAGTTGGTGATGTCGAGGTACGGGGCCTTTTGTGCGATGTGTTGGGTCTGGCTCACGGTGACCACATCGCCTGAGGTCGCGTCGTGCTGGTCGGACTTGAGATCAGTCGGGATGTACTTAATCTGGCGCTGGTAGTGAAGCCACATGTCGAAGCGGAGGGCGAGACACATGACAATGCCTGGGACGACGATGTCTCCGAGTCCGAGAATGCTGGATCTAGCGGCAGATTGGAACTGGAGCTTGATGGGCACGTCGAGTTTGGTGGCGACCGTGATCATGTAGGGACTGGTGAATGGTTAGATGGCGTGTGTTTGAAGGTTACTGACAACCAGGATGAGGTACAACTTACGTGTAGAAAACCATGATGATGTCGTAAAAGAAGAGTCCGATCAGCACCAAGCTTCCAGTCGCAAAGGTCGTCGGGGACATCATGAGAAACGAGCCATAGCAGAAACCGTAGCCCATGAAGTTGGACAGGAAGGGCGAGCCAGACATAAAGTAGGCCACAACGGTTGCAACAGCTAGGTTAAGACCAACGACGTGGAGGATGGTCATATGGAATTTCTCGCGGAGGAGACCATGCAGCTTCGCCTTCACCGTCCACTCATCCGTCAAGACGTGGCGCAAATCCCACAGAAACCGGTTGGTCTTGATGGTGTTGAGGCGCATGATGCTGCGCAAACCAAAGGGCAGCGGGTTGCTCTTCTGGAGGAACTGCGCGTTATTCCGGTCCACCTCCTCGCCTGTGACCTTGATGAAGGCCTCATTGTCGTCGTCGACGTTGTAGAGCGAGCCATCGTGGCGGAAGTAGTTGGGGAAGACGAACCCAGTCGCAACCCGCAGCGAGTGTGCGATCAGGGTCGTCAAACTGGCGACACCCATGACGGACATGTAGACTCGGAGGATCTTATTGAGGATGGCGGGGTCCTGGAGCCACTGGATAAGGTAGTAGAGGCCGATGAGCATGGTGCCGGCCAGGATCGGGAAGAGAATGGCATCAGTAGGCATGAGGCCCTCTGTTATAGGCTCATCCTCCTTGCGTTCTTTTCCATCCTTGCGCTTCTGAGGAGCGGCAGAAGGTGGGCGGCGGAGTGAGCCGTGGGCGCCGATGTAGATGATGGCTAGAGCGCTGAAGATGAGCTTGGCCTCCATCGTTAGGAAGCTAGCATACTGGGTGAAGCCCCATTCCACGACGGCAGCGGTGACATTTCCGGCTGTTGAGTTGCCAGTGAGGTTGCCGGTGAGGTTCTGGGCAAGCTCATCAAACGGCGGGTTGATGGGGCTGGGGACCGGCGAGGCCATGTTGCCGCTGTCGCTGTTAGTGTCAGGGTCGCTGTCGTTCCCGGATGAAACAATCGGTCCAAGGGCCAAGAAGACGAAAACAATCGTCCAAGGCAAGTGAAGCTCGTGATAATCGTCGAGATGAAGAGACGGAAGCTGAGTCTGAATGAATGAGACGATGACCGTTGTGAGCGGCAAACAGAGAAGCCAGATGCCCGTAATTATTCTCGTACCCTCGGAAAAGACCACTAGTGATCGAATGCTGGCAAAATGTCAGAAGAAAAGCGACCCTCGTCGTCGGTATTTAGATCCTCACCACTGATAAAAGTAGAAATTGAAGCCACCTGTTTTGGAAATGGGTGGGATGAAAGACGACACGGTGTTTCCTGCCCTGTCCGATAGAAAAAAAAAGTAACAAGTCGATTCTGAGAATCGGTCTCCGCCCTGGCCAAATGTTGCTTCGAGTGACGGTCTAGGCAGGCAAATGAAAGGTGTCTTTGATCGAGACGAAAAGGACTCCGGATGTCCTAAGAAAAATGGGTATATTCGCCGTTTGGTGTATCCTCTTCAAGAGAGAAGTCGCACCTTGCCCGTGTCCAAACTCTTGGAAGGCGGTATCGACATCCGTGCGGCGCGAGCGTTGCTGCAGGAGGTTCGCCCTGCGCTGGTCCAGAATGGTAGGGGAGTTGACGAGTGAGAAGTGAGGTTAGTAGGTACCTAAGCTATGCTCAGCTCAAGGCAAGGCATGCGGGGGAGAGAACCTAGCTGCAGCTCCCAAGGCCCCCACATCAGCGCTGTAAGCCATCGATACCTCAAAGTACCAGCTCGAATGCGCAACCATGGAATAAACATCTACAAATACACCACAAACACTCAGCCCCTTGGATCTATTAGGTAAGAACCATTGAATCACAGACATGAGCAGCGTCTGAAGTGTACATGACCTAGTGGAGGAAGTAATAACGCGTAATTGGGTCCTGCAAAGGTTGCGAGTTCGAATTTGGTGGTCCTACATGATGCCACAGGCAGCTCATTTTTTGGCTTCTGTACCTCCAGCTCCTAGTGGCGCATCTCCACCCCGGAAGTGGCTGAAGCTCCCCCTGTGGCCAGCCGCTATCGAAAAGCGCAATCCGCAATCGGGCGCATCCGCGAGACGTGACGTGCGACCGCAAAACCTCAATCGCATCGCATCGCCAGCCTCGCCCAAAATAATTCTTCGTGAACCCCTCCAACCACCGCCGGCAACACCACTCATCACGACAATCCACGCAGCAAGCACAGCTGCCAATCCTTCAAAATGACTACCAACGTCTCCCTCGAGACCTCAATGGTACGTCCAAACAACCTCCACCCCCCCTCATCCCATGCACCAAACATTCAGTTACCAATGAAACAACCCCCAAGCTAACTCCCACCTCTCCTCAACAGGGTACAATAATCCTAGAACTCTACACCGCACACGCCCCCAAAACCTGCACAAACTTTGCTACCCTCGCAAAGAGGGGCTACTACAACAGCACCGTAATCCACCGCATTATCCCAAACTTCATGATTCAGGCCGGCGACCCGACGGGCACAGGCCGCGGCGGCACCTCAATCTACGGCGAAAAGTTCGCAGACGAGATCCACGCGGGCCTCAAACACACCGGCGCGGGTGTTCTCTCCATGGCCAACGCGGGGCCCGACACGAACGGCTCCCAGTTCTTTATTACCCTCGCCCCGACCCCTTGGCTCGATGGGAAACATACCATTTTCGGACGGGTCAAGAGCGGTTTGAGCGTCGTGAAGAGGATGGGGCTGGTCAAGACGGGGCCCGAGGATCGGCCGCTTGAGGAGGTCAAGATCATCAAGGCTTCTGTCGTTGAAGAGGGCGGCGACGAATTGTAAACGACGTAATGGTAAAGGCCTGCCTGCCTAGAGGGTCGTATTGTCAGCATCTACACGGAGTTTGGCGTTTGGTCGAGCAGACCGTACAATGGGGAAAAGTTATGTCTAGATCATGTCGTCTATGTCTTTCACGCGGCGGCTCTTGGGTCGCAAATCGAACATCAGAGTAGAGGATCACAAACTTAAAACTCATTGGGGGGGAATCAATGTCATTTGTCACAATGCCTATAAAAATGTAGCCGCAATCTCTAAACGCCGCCATCCGCCTCGCCAGGCGATGCACACGAATATGGAGGGAGGAAACCTCCTCATTCCTAGAAGACCTTCCCCGACTGACTCCCTGACCATGCATTGTTGAGTATCGTGTATCAAATGTCGATCTTCTCGTCGACCAGGGCTTCAGATTTTTGATGAGTACAGAAAGAAAAAAGAAACGGAAACGGCCAGGAACCCGGCTCTGTGGCCAGTCCCACGACCTATTCTTTCGTCGTAGAATGCGGCCCAGAGAAGTAAGGTATGCCCCATCCCGGCTGATGTCTGAAGCAGGGCCCGGGACACTGAAGGAAGAAATTGTGGTAATGAATACAAAGGAGAGATATTAAGAGCGACGCCGTTTGTTGGCCTGTTTCTCATGCTCAGACGAGGCTCTCTTTTTACCTCGGGCTGGCGGCTGGGCCTGAACGGCAGATTGACTTTTGGCGGGCTTTTTGCCTTCAGTTGGTGGCGTTCGACCTCGAGTGGTCTTGGGCTTTGAAACCGGTCCTGTGGATCGAACTGTGTCTTGAGAAGGTGTCGGCGAGTTCGATTTTGCAGCAGAACGACCAGAATAGTTGCTTTGGGCAGAAGAGGTGGTTGACACAGACGCCAGTCGCTGTCGAGTTGGCTGCGACTGCGATTGTGGAGGTGAGCGTTTGACTGACGATGTGGTCGATGTGCCCTTCATAGCCGACAACTCGCTTGGTCTCCTAAGACCACAGCCAGTCGTTCTTTTGGCGCTGGTTGTTGAGCTGGCCTTTGTGCTGCTCGTTGCGCTGGTCGCTTTGTCGCCCGTGGTGCCGCTCATCATGCTGCCAGGCTTCTAGTGTGGCGGCGACGACAATGTGCCAGACGATTCTGATTCTGCGTCTTCATCCTTTTCTTTTCCGTTCCGGCCGTTCTTGGATAACGGCGAGGACAAGGGCGGCTTGGCGGCACCAAGCTTCAACTTCTTGGCCGGACTAATGCCCTTGGCCTCCTTCTTCTCCTTCTTTGGCGCGACTTCAACAGTAGAATTGTCGCCGTCGTCCGCCTTTGCCTCACGACTCAGAAGTGAGTTCGTCTTCACCTTTTCCTTCTTAGGACCTTTTGTTTTGAGAATGACCTTCTTTGTCATCAAGGGTGTCGACTTCAGCTTCTTCTTCTTATGGCTATCTCCCGATTCGTCCTCGTCTTCAGGTGCCGCCACCTCCTCGCTGTCGCGCTTCTTAGGGCTCGAGGCCCGCGATGCAGGCGCCGGTGTGGCCTTTTGGCTCGATGGGGGCGTTCCGTCGTGCTGGCTAGCGCCGTTGCTGCCGTTTGAAATCTTTGCCGCCGCAGCGCGACTGGCATTACGTCCGCTGTTTCCAATACAGGAGCCCATATGGTTGTTGAGACGGGTGACAAGAATGCATCGTTTGCACTTGCTGCAAGTGGCGGAGGGGAACGATAGCACGTTGGCTGGTCGCGCTTCTCCGGGGCCGGCTGACTCGATGTTCGGGTCGGGCTTCATGTCCTTCTTCTTCTTTCCTCGGCCAGGACCAGGCTGAACCCACGTCTGTCCGTAGATGTCGAAGCCGGGCTTGTCAATGTAGGGGTGCTTCTTGCAGTAGATGACGCTCGGATCCGGCTTTCGCGCCCCTTTGCCATCGGTCGGATAGAGCAGGCGAGGCAGGTGGCATCTAGGGCACAGGATCTCGGATGTGGTCTTGAGGGGGTTGCCCTTGAGCAGAACCTTGCCGTCTTCGTATATCGCAGCGTCGGTCTCTATTCGCACGTCTGGTTTCGAGTCGGGGGTAGAGCTCTCTGATGCATCGGAAGCCAGCTTCTCGACACGGATGGCAGCGGTAGACGCTCTCGCCATTTTCTCGTCGCGGTGGACTTTGAGCAGCAGGTCATGAACAATGTTGTACATGAGATCGTCGAGGACAGCGTGTGCCTGTTGCCAAATAACGGACTATGGTCAGCATCACGTCAAGTCATTAGCCACGGCAAATACTCGCCCAGCCCAACCGCAGCAATTCGTAGAATGGAATGGCCGCGATGGTTTGAGTGAGACTGGGGAAGGAAGGAGAGGGAGGTAGGTGAATAAAGGTTGAGGGTAGGGGATGGAAGAAGACTTACAAGCTTGTCCATATTGCCAGCGTCGTCGGGAGCGACAATCACTCCAGCCTTTCCTGTATTGGAAGCCATCTCGACGAGGCCGACGGAACGGCGCACAGAGGCTGAAGGGAATAAGATGCCGTCGTGATCGCAGCCTCGGAGGGCGAATAGCTTTGTGGTCGTGTGCAGGAAGAAATGTGGTTTGTGGAATCTGAATCGGGTTGACGGGTAACTAAAATAAGGTGCCACACGGCCGGTCGAGGGGCGGGTTGTTCAGCAGCCGCAGCAGTGAGCAGTGAGCAAGTCGTAGTAGCGGCAGGTGCAGTGCAGGTGCAGGGGGAGATGAGGTCAAGCTGAGCAAATGGAAAGGAACGACCGAACCGACGCCGCCGCCAGGGAAGGGTTGGAGGGCAAAAAAAAGTTTCGGAACCTTGCTTTGCTGAAGTAATAGGTAAGGGTGCAACAGCGATGGCGAACAAGCACCGGACACAAGGATTTGCGGTTAAGGTAGGTTGGTTGTCTCCGATGAGCTAGGGGGTCGACTTTCCCTTTGTCGTACCACGAGAGAGGCCCTATGCCGAATCTGGATAAGACGGGGGGTTGAAGGTGCGAGGCGAGAGAGAGTCCGATGGGCGCGGCCAACGTCAGTGTTGGTTGGCTGGCGGAGAAAGTAGTTGGTTTGACAGTCAAATGATAGGGAGACAATTGCTCGATGTGGTATAAGGTCCCCGGGTACGGAGTAAATATTTCCAAACCTGGCGAAAGGCGAGGTGAGGTGAGGTGAGGTGAAGTGAGGTGGTTGATGGGGGATTGGAGAAGGAGAGAATGCGAATTGGGTGGTTTTTCCGGATTACCTGAGCAGATTGCTCAGGCATCTTTGGCAAGGGAATTGCGGGAAAGAGCGACTTTGGAAAGAAGCCCGGAAGCAACTTCCCAAAAGTGTCAACGTCGATCTGCGGGCCGCCTCACTCACAAAAGTCACAAATGTACGGATAGCAGGAGCCCACTTGGCAACTTACAACTCAGTAACTTCCTCACCTTACCTTAGGTACATAAGGCATACAGGTAGTAAATGCGATCGATAATCAAGTCCAAGGTGTCATATCTTCAATTGGCTGGCTTCTGTTGCAGCATCAGGGAGGTTCCTTCTTCTTAAAATCGAGACACAAGTCCAAAGAGACATCATCAAGTGGTGCAGACTTTCCCCGGACGTGGATTCCACCCCACGATCCTACGCGGCACCCAGAATCTCTGTAGATAGTAACAACATGACAACCCAATGCACCAATGCACTTTCAGTTACATCTACGCTGCCAGACACACTCGCAGAGCAGGGAGACGGGCTTAGATGCCATCCCATCCAATTCAAGGATCCCGTCATGGAAACCACGGAGCGGATACAGTGTCCCCATCGGCGCATGCATGTGCCTGACTTTAGTCCCCTTTTCGCCTAGGTACCATAGCCAAGGTGCACAGGGGTCCAAGGGGCTAAATACCCGTCAACAACTACTATGCTCATCACCGCTATCATTCTTGTTCTCTTGCCAAGATACTTACAGCGTAATGCTCAGATAACATGTTTGGACAACTAGTAGGAAAGAGTATGAGTGGTGGTAAGAGAGAAAATGGCAGACTTGATGGCAAGGTAGAAATAGAAACTCGGTATATGGTGAGCGGCATATGGTTCCATCATCCATCTCGCGCTCTCAAGCCAACCTCCAGAGCAGCATCCAGCTCCCGGAAAAGAGACCAGTTCACCTGGTTGGCAATGTAGTTGAGCAGCGGCTTTTTACCTAAAGTTACGTCGCAGGGCTCTCTACTGTCGTGCACCTGTTCCTCATGTTTTTGGACCCTCGCCGACACACTCCCTCTATCCAAGAGGACACCCTGGTAAGTATGCTGCAGACATCGTCATTGTCGAGTCAAGACGGCGGTTTGCCAGGGGTCCGCTATTATTCCATGATTCGCTCAGAGAGTCTAATCATCCATCAGTCTCTGAAGTTCATGCAGTAGTTTTAGCACTACCACTCCCAGGTGCCCTCTAGTCAGTCTCGTGGTCTCTTAATACAAGTATTGAATACGGAGTACATGTACTCCGTACAGGATGTCTTTAGCACAACACCATCTCTGATATTCGTCACCCTGCAATTGATTCAGGGACGAGCCGGTGGAACCGTCGCTCTCCCGCCAGAGCCTCCAGAGCTGCGTCTGACCGCATTTGCTCCGTACACAGTAATTACCTAGCATCGGTGCTGACCGAACGCATCTGTCCGTCTGAAGCTCTGAGGGTGTACGGAGTAGGTACCTTACCTGTCTCCTTCCTTTCCAGAGACAGCCCAGGGAGAAGGAGCCACCAAACCTAAACCGAGTCACGACTTGCACCACCTTCCGTCTCGCTGCAAGGAACCGTCTACCTGCCCTGCATCCCGAAAAGAAGAAAAGGAAAAAAAAAAAATCGCAACCATTCAGAGACAGTGACTTCCTAAAACCTCTCGCCCAGCTCACCTTTGCCCCTTTCCCTGCATTCATCGTCACCGGATTATTGGAAACAAGACATCACCACATCCCAAACCAGACTCTTGAAGTACTGCACGCGTGTAAATGCTCACGTCTACGCGCACGCGCATCTGAACTCCTGTCCGCTCGGGAATTATTTCACGGAGTAGCATCCCTCCAGCTCGAGCGCTCGACCTACCTTGCTACCCTGCTGCTCCACACTTTCTTTCCCGCCATCCTCCCTCCAGTCTCGACAACTCATACGAATACATTTCCCTCATTCACAAGTCAAGCAACGAACGTTCCTCGGCCCAACACACAACATGTCTCTCCCCCAGACTACGACAATGAAGCAACCACCGACCCAGTCCTCCATCAAATCCTTCTTCCAACCCCGCCAGCAACCCTCATACGCTCCGCCACCCCCAGCGTCAAAGTACGCCCCCGCGCCGTCATCGAATGGAACATCTGCTGCAGCTGCCCCTCCCGCGACCAAACCCCCACCATCGTCAACATCAACACCACCTCCCCCTCCTAAATCCTCAGTGACGACGGCGACAACAACGACGACACCACCGGGAACTTCGCCCTCAGCAACGACATCACAAATATCACAACCGCCAGCCTCGACGCCCCTCCACCCAAGCGCCTCGATCCGCCCCGTCTTAGACCAAGACCTCCAACCCCTCCGCCGCATAAACTCCCTCCTCCTCCCAGTGGCCTACCCAGAAACTTTTTACGCCGCGGCCCTCACGGGTCCCTTCTCCCGCGTCGTCACCTGGCGCGACCAACCCACCACAAACTTTTCTCAGGAAATCGTCGTCGGCGGCGTCGTAGCCCGCATCGAACCCTCCCCCTTTCCCTCCGCGACCCCGACCCCAACCCGCCTCGAACACGCCCTCTACATCCAGTCCCTCGCCCTCCTCTCCCCCTACCGCTCCCATGGCCTTGCCACCGCCGTGGTAGACCACCTTGTCGCCGCAGCCGCGAACTCCTCCCCCGATGTCAACCTCCGCCACATCTACGCTCACGTCTGGACCGATAACGAGGAGGGCATGCGCTGGTACGCCGCCCGCGGGTTCGAGCGGTACGGTGAGCCGCTGCAGGGATATTACATCAAGCTCCGCCCGGACTCGGCCTGGATCGTCCGCCGCGCCGTCGGGCCTCTGTCCATCGGCGGGCAGCAACAGTCCCTGTCCTCTGACAGAGCCACGGCCACCCCGATCCCAGGTCCCACCGCCGCCGTTGCGAACCTGCCACCCATGAACGGCGGCCCCCCTCCTCCGCCGCTGTCGAGGACAATCTCAGGCACATCCTTCCAGAACCGCCGCGCCGCGACAGAGTGGAACGACCTCCCCGACGAAATGGCATCCGCCAAGCTCGCCCCTCCCAAGAGCAACGGCGGCTCGGGCGCGAGTTCCAGGAGCAGCTCGACGGTGAGGAAGAAGAAGGATAGATCATACCCGGCTGCCGCTTTCCAGGGCTAGGCGCAAAGAGGGACATGCCTACTTTCATTGTGCTAAGGTCAAGGAATTTGAGACGTCCAGACGACGGCAAAATGAAGAGCTACAATCACATGCAAATTGGAATCCTCAAGTATCATCAGTTGGTTCCCAGGACGGGTAGGATACCAGGACAGGCAGGATACAACAAACCATCCCGACCCTCGAACCGTCTTGAGCATAGTCGACTCCATGGCACTCACCATCTGTATCAAAAGATGCGAAAGAGAGAGACACAAGAATACTAGAAAAGATTCGCCCCCCACAATTAGAGGCTAGCCTGCTATAGACGTTTTGAACTTCGTTTTAGAGAAAAAAAATAAAACAAGACAAGTATTTAAACAGTTGATGTGTTTGAACAAAAACCTTTCCCAACGCAAAGTTTTTCTGTTTTGCTCAGGCCCAACTCCGGTATTTTCCCCTTTGTGTGTGGAATCATGAAGAAATGATCAAATCCCCAATGCCGAAAAAAAGATGCTCACAGGATGGGGACGCAGACAATGAAGAGTGAGAAATCACATCTCTCCCTCTTTCTCATCTGCTGTCCCAAATGACTGGTGGGTTTGCCTTTCCCACACCTTCACCCTTTCCCATTTTCTCAATCCCCCCCCCCATTCATTCATCTCTTATACTTCGTTCATCATTGGCGATTATACCGAGACCACCAGACGGCCGCAATGGCTGCAACACCAACGATGCCTCCGATTATCAAGGCGGTGTTGGTTGTTGACACCTCTTCGCCTGTAAGACACGCACAAAATGTGATTAGCCAACAGTCTCGCAATGCATCGCAGCGGGAAGTTCATCACGGTCGAAATCGCCCTTTGTCTCAGCAACTCCGGTGACTAGCAACTTACGTTGTTCAGGGATAGAGTCAAGCTCTCTCTTGACGTTCTGTCTGAACTCGGTCAAGACGTCGCCCTCCTTCTCCATGCCAGCTGCCACAAGGGCAATGAGGGCGGCGCCGACTCCACTTCCGTCCTTAGCGATGCCAATGCGGATCTTGTCAGCACCCTTGGGGCCAATGCTCTCAATGGAGCGGAGGGCCTCGTAGATCATGTCCCTGAAGAAAGGGTAGTGTTCAACCAAGCTACCGTCGACACCAACGTCAATGACCTCTTCCGTCTCGTCGTCGAGCTTGCCAGACTGGAGCACAATGGCGCCGATGGCAACAGCCGACAGGCGAGCTGCACGGCGGCCGACGGAGCCGGCAACGGCCTTGAAGGCCTGGGCGTCCTCAAGCGACGGGCTGTACACCTGCATCTCGGACTCAAGCTGTTGTCTCAGGGTAGAGAGCTCGGGGGTGTTGTCGGCAGCGGCAACGGACATGATGGAGCTGTCCAGGCCCCACTGCTTGAACATGCCAGACTGAGCACCGATGCTTGTTGTTGACTTCCAGTCGTTGAAGCTAGAGTTCTGGTCCTTGAACAGGGAAAGCTTCTCGTCCTTGAGCATGTCAAGGATGGTAAGACGGACAATCTCGCCCAAGAACATGCCAGAGACACGCTTCTCAAACATCTGGATGCCAGGGTTGACACTGGCCTTGTCGAGAGCATCATCCCACGGGGTGTTGGGCAACACGTTGAGCTGGTTGTCGAACGAACCCCACTCGGTGTTGACAACCATCTCGCCGGTAGCAGACTCGAACTCGCCGACAATGGGCTTCTTGATGTTGGACAGCTTCTCGAGGTAGGCGCCGTTGGTGCCAGTGCCGAAAATGGCACCCAAGATGGAGCCGGACTTGCCGGTGGAGGTGTAGGATCTCGCCATCAGGGTTCCGACGGTGTCGTTGACGAGAGCAGCAACGCGAACGGGGAGGTGCAGCTTGTCGATCTCGACCTGCAGCAGAGCACAGACATCCTTGCCGACGGCATCGGGAATATCGAAGCCCTTGGTCCACCGGATCAGGTTGCCCTTGTTAATGCCAAGTTGCTGAACGGGGAAGCTGAAGGTGAAGCCCAGGCGGAAGACGTGCTCGTCGCGGTAGCCCTCGGGGGCGCTGTAGGTTTGGCGGCGGCGAATGTGCTGCTCAAAGTGCTCGGCGTGGTGTTCGCGAAGGAAGAGCTCAATCTGCTTGGCGAGGAAGGAGAAGAGTTCCTCGGCGGTCTTGGCGACCATGAGCTCCTTAGGGATGGCGACCTTGCTGTATGTGAGGTTGAAGGTAGTGTCACCATTGAGCTGGACGGAGCACACGCGGAAGTTGGTGCCGCCGAGGTCGACGGCGAGGTACAGGCCCTGCAACAAGTGTCAGTGAGTGGAATCCCGCAAAGTGGGTTTGCGGATGCAAAGCTTCGTTGCTGCGCAATTTACCTTTTCGGTGCCATTGGGCACGCCAGTGACGTAGGTCGGAATCTGGCTCATGCTAGATCCATCCTTCTCCAGGCCAGTTTCTGCGAGATGCTAAAATCAGCTCACTTTTCTTGGCTGCCGAGTGTTGCCGCGCAAGATTTCTTTTTATTTTATTTTTCCCCTTCTTTGGCGCAAACGTTTGGCCGTGACAAAGACAGTTCCCGCAGGTGAATACTTGCAAAGTATACGGGAGCGCGAGGGAGAATGAGCTGACTTACGCATTTGGCCAAGGAATTCGCTGACGGCACGGTTGAGGTATGCATCGGACAGCTCGAACTGGTCAACGACGCGTTTTGTCTCTGCTTCGAGCGCCATTGTGAGAGGTATGGAGATTGGCGGCGTGGTTGGAAAAGGCGCTGGATTTTCGCAGACGGGCTCCTGGAAGATTTGTGCCGAAGGAGAATAGAAGGGAGGAGGCGGGTAGAAGAAGTTGTGAGAGGGGAACAAGTAGGAGCGAAGCTGCAGTTGTAGGTGCGGCGGAAGGAGCTTGGCGTCTCGGAGGAAGAGCTGCGTGAGCTGTTTTGGTACAAAATTAGTCCAAGGCAATCTTTGTCGTAAGAAGATGAGACGATTCTCCAGATAAAGAGAGAAAACAGATATGAGGAGGAAAGATTTGAATTTGGTATTTCGAACGAGGCAAAGCCAGGTAAGGTAGGGGTGAGGAGAGTATGGGATAGTGGGAGAAGAAGGTCGGACAGAGCGAAGGTGAGGAAGTTTTTGGGGGAGCTCTGAGGATGATGTATGTGACGAAATCGCAGTGGAATGGACGGGGGATGGGGTTCAATTGGCATGGGAGCGAACATGGAGCATGGGGAGCAAGTGTGGAGCTGCTGGCTGCTGGTCCCATGGAGCAGGGCGACAGGCATGCAAGGTAGTAAGGTACCTTGTCAGCACTCAACACCACCAGAAAGCAGTGAGGTAATGTCGTGGTGGGGTGACTGAGGTGGCCGGTCTCGTGCGACTACTCGTAGACGCGGTTTTCCTTTCCAGCTCCAAGCCTCCAAGACTCTTGTCTTCCACCTTGGGAAACACGACATTTGGGTAATTGGGCCATCATGAAAGATGTCGCCCAGAACAGCGAAGCCGAGGCCAAGGATACGGAACAGGGACCGTGACCAAGACCCTGCACCTGGAGTTGTCGTTGACTAACTCTCAGTTGATGATTCCCCAGGTCTGCATGTGGGATGCAAATGCCATTGGGTCACATCCAGGCCTTCAAGTCTTCAGGTCTCGAGACCTGTCTTTCCCCCTTCCAGGTGTAGGGCCGGACGGAGCACCAAGCTGCGTGACGAGAATAGGGTCTTCTGCAGCACGACCCAGCATGAGGTGGTGAATGGACTGCCTGGACGGCTACAGCTGCGTGATGTGAGGCGAGATGCGTGGTCGCGGAAAGCTGGAACTGGAACTGGAACTGGAACCTGAACCTTGGAACCAGCTGTAACTGGGGGGGTCGACTGCTGCGGGGAATCGTGCGCCCGTGTGTATCCGTCCAGCACAAAATAGGTAGTGTACGGTATTTCAGCGAGAGAGACCACCCAGACTGCCATAGTTTGGCATGACGACAAGGTACGAAGGCGGCGGCGGCAGAGTCCGGTCAAGTGTTCCGTTCCTTGGCCTTGGCCCTTGGCCCTGCTGGCAAAAGCTCGGGAGCCGGAAGCAGCTCTGGCTGCCTGTCATTGGATCGTGGCATCAAATTCGGCCCCGCCGTTGGCCCCAATTGGGTTCCGGCGAGGCCCCGATCATCGATTGCCTCTCATCTCTCGTGTCGCTCGCTCGATTTTCTCGCCCGTTTCTACCTCACCGAGTCCCCTGCTCACTGCTGTTCGCTCTGGCCTGGTCTGCTGCAGCCGTGCGAACAATACGGCAGGTAAGGTAGCCAGCCGCTTGACCATCCATGGTGAAGATTCACTCAAGGACAGTCTCCGGCGCTTCTCCCGGCGCAAGTCGTCTGCATGCTGCCCCCATGTCTCCTGCTCCCCAACAAGCAGATTCCCCAAAACCTGGGCCCCCGTGAGTCCGCATGATGCCCCAGGGGAAAACTCCCCCAAGTTTGGGACATGGGATAAGGTACTGGGACAACAACCATATCCATACCCAAGGCACCCAGGTGGCCAGGCCACCACGCGCGCGACTGACGCTGACGGCGGCTCACCACCCACTGCACTCGCAGGGCTCTGAGTCTCTGACAGGCGACACTATCGCCCCCCGTCCCACGGTGGCCCACTTCTACGCCGAAGAAGCTCCCGTCGTCATCCACAATCGTCCACGCCCGGGCGGGCCACCGAACATGCCGGAAATGGAGAGACTTTGGTCAAACACAAGACGAAAAATCGAACCGACGGAAAATGAGCGCATGCAACTGCACCACGACGTCGTCGGGGAGGGAACAAGGGGGCGGGGACGTTGAGTCTTTTGAGAGCATATGTGGGTTCAGGGCAATGGTTTGTGATTTGGGATCCAGGGTAGGGTAGTGTGAACTGTGTGATGGGTTTGTCTGATGGGAAACGACGGATACAACGAAGGAGAATCTGCACTGCTGCAGAGGTACTTACTAGGACGAGTGCTAAAAACACCACCGAGCAAAGGCCGTACCAAAATGAGGAGACCCCATGGGAGACCAGGAAGCTGCTCCTCCT